TGTCCTATTGTGACTGAGATACTTCACTCAGCATAATGTCCTCCAGGGTCACCCATTTTGAATAATATTGCATGAGTTCCTTGTTTTTCAGTATAGCATAGCATTCCAGTGTGTGAATATACCACAGCTTCTCTATCCAATCGTTTGTTGATGGGCCTTTAGGTTGTTTCCAACTCCTTGCTATTGTGAACAAAGCTGCAATAAACATGGGTGTGCATATATCTGCCTGGGTGGCAGTTGTGGTCTCTTTGGGGTATATTCCCAGTAGTGGAATTGCTGGGTCAAATGCTATCTCTATTTGCAACTTTTTGGGAAAGTGCCATACTGCCTTCCACCATGGTTGCACCATTTTACACTTCCACCAACAGTGAATAAGGGTTTCAGTTTCTCCACAATCTCGCCAGCATTTGTTGCTTGCTGTTCTGTTAAATTTTGCTATTCTGATTGGGGTGAGATGATATCTCATAGTTGTTTTATGAATATTTTTAAAAATGTTAATTTTAACATTTATTTTACTAAAAGAGACATTCTAATGCCCTGATTTAGGACATCATTTAAATAAATTATGATTTATATGTATATTGGAAACATGGGTGGTAACAGAATTGATGATATAGATCTACATGTGTTGACAAGGAGCAATATTTTTGACATACTGCCAAATAAAAGAAATCAAATTGAAGGACACATACAAGATTTTGAACAGATGTAGTGTAGTCATTTATTTTGTGTAGCCCCCCTGGCTGGCCATCATCTTTATTTCTGTCACCAGAGGGCTGAGTAAGAAGACTATGCTAGTGTGAGGTGTTTGCCTCCCACCAAGAGTAAGGTCCACCTAATTCAGGCCATAGTGTTTCCATCACCTGCTGTGCCTCTAAGAGTTAGACAGTAAATAAGGATGGCAGAAGTAGAACTAATACCTCTGAGTTCTGGTGTTGGAGAAGAGTACCGAATGTTCCGTGGACTACCAAAAGCAAAAACCAGATATGTCTTGGGGAAAGTGCAGCCAGGGTGCTCTTTAGAGGCAAGGATAATGAAGTTTCATCTCACATACTTTGGACATGTTGTTAAGAGGGACTATTCCTTGGAGGGGAACATCATGCTTGGAAAGGTGGAGAGTTAGAGAAGGAGAGGAAGAACTTGAACAGGATTGATTGACACAGTGACAATAGCAATGAGCTCAAGTGAGTTGGAGGTGATGATGATGGTGCGTGATAGGACAGGATTCAGATGTGCTGTTGAAAGGCTTGCTATAAGTCATACTTTACTAGATGGCACATGACACAACTTTATATGTAGGTATAGGGTACCCTTATGGGATAGGATCATGCAAATCATGTGTATAGACTGCTACTGTGAGAACTAGTCAGTTTTGCCATGCTGCCAGGCTTAAAATGAGCCGTTCTAAAGATGAAAAATGATGTGGGGTAGGACTCTCACAGCCATCAAGAAATAAGAGCCAGGAGTCATACTTGTCCTTTCATCTGAGGGATTCCTCAACTGAAGCTCCTCAGCCAGCCTCTGGAGGAGACAGCTGTAGCACTGGAGAGATGGTGCACACAAGGAGAACAGCTGCAGCTGGAGAGCCATAGCGTAATAACTCAGAATGGTTTCGGGTTTTTTACCATATGCATCATACAGTGTTGTTATATTATGTCACTGTGCTAATTTTAGATAGAGAAATAGAATGAAGTAGTATTAGAAAAGAAGTAGTAGTCAAAGCTTAGTAAGTATAAGCCCCTGCTTTGTAAGGAACGTGTGAGGGGCACCAAGCAACAGAAACTCCAGCGTGCTCGCTCAGGTTCAGCACTTCCCAGGTCTTTGTGCTCTTTGTTAGTTGGATTTGTGCATGTTTTTAAAATTATATGTCTCTTTAAAATGTGTCAGCTTTCACAATTATGCCCATAAGGACCATTTTTTCAGTCTGGATAGGCAAATAGTTACAGGAGAATTAAGGTGGCAGCTCTCTTAAACACTACCTGCCTCAGCCTTGTTAAATCTCGACTTACAAGTTTATGGAAAAATTCTTTAAAATCTCTTTGCCTCCCCCTTTCCTTTGTAAAATGAGAAGCATAGATGAGATCTCTTAATTCTGTGGAACCCTGGTGGCATAGTTGTGTGAAACATTGGCAATTGAAATCCACCATCCTGTGTTGTGGGAGATAGATTTGCACATTGACAGCTTCAGGCACCCAGTGGAGGGTTGCTGTGATTCGAAACTGGCAGTGGAATTGTGTTTTTGTCTTTTCTCAACACTGTTTTATACTGCCAAGTCAGAATGGACTCCAAGCTAACTCTCCTGTGGGTTTTCAGAGACAGTAAATTGCGTCATGGAGACAGCCCATCTTTTTTCCCATGGAACAGCTGATGGATTTGAACGCCATACCTTTTTTTTGGATTGCAAAAAAGTACCGCTAGGCCAGCTTATCTTATTCTTATAACTAACTCAGATTCCTATTCACTGCTATTGCTAGTTGCCCTCTGTTGGGTTTCTGATGTAAATCTGATGAATTAGAAATACTGGACGAGCTTGACCTTTACTTTGCCATCAGAACCCCTTTATTCTTATCATACTTTCCCAATATCCTGCTCCTTCCTAAAGTCTTATAAAAACATTTTCTTTATTATTTGCTTCCTCATTTCTCTAATTCTTTTATGCTTCTCTCTTGTTTGGATTCTGCTACTGTTTCTTTACTGCCTGCTGAGTGCTTGGTACAACAGAAGAATGTAAAGAGAAAAGCTGCTTCTGTTTTCTGCCTTCAGAGATTTTGTAATTTAATTGGAGAGGTAATTACCTTAAATATAAGAGATTTCATATTATTGCTCATTTATTTCTTACTTTATCTCTATTGCTTTTTATTGTCTTCTGTGACTGTTAACCTTTCAAACACCTATTACTAGTAATTTGTTTCTATTTTCTTTAACTCTTTTCTTCTCTTACTCCCTGAAAACTTTGTTCATAGTGATCATCAATTGTACAAAGTGCTATTCTAGGTTCTGCAGAAGGCAAGAAAGTTAAATAAGATATTTTAGCTGTGGAGGAGCTTTACCACCCAGTGGAACAGATAGAGCAGTTTACACCGTGATCAAAACTCAAAACTTGAGAGAGACTGGGGAAGGCAGATTTGATAATTTCTAGTTGTAGGGATCAAAACAAAGTTTCCTGGCATGGAGATGATATTGACTCCTAGTGACGCTATAGAACAAGAGTAGAACGTCCTCATGAGTTTCGAAGGGTGAAATCTTTATGGAAGCAAACGGTCACATCTTTCTCCTGCAGAGCAGCTGGTGGATTCAAAGTTTAGTTTTGGATTAATAGCCATACAGTTTAATAACCACACCACCAGAGCTTCTTTGTAGGAATCAGGGAGTACTTAAAGAAGTTAATATTTTTCATTTATTTGCCGGATGTGTAGGGTTTTTGCAGGCAGAGTTGAGAAGAAAGACATTCTCTATAATAGGCATCAGCAGAGGTGTTGGTATAACTTGAAGAATGGTCAATCAGTTTGGAATCTAATGTATTTACACATGTCAGTAGCAGAAGAAAGTCGCTCTGAGTCTTGACTACAACTATTCTTGTGTGTGATACTGTAGAGATTTTCTTTTAGGTTGGCAGAAGTTAAGCTGAATTTGTTCATTATTTTAAGTGGAAGAGAATAGTATAGTACAGTTCTAAGTTAATATTTTTAGTTACTCTCTTTAATGGTTTGTAAAGAGAGAAACTAAATCAACAAATGTGTTTAAGAAAAGTAAAAGGATTATATTGAATATATTTCAGTAGAAAAGTAGACTGAATTAGGAGCGCTCTGGTGGCTTAGTGGCAAGAAGCTGCACTGCAGTCCCAGAGGTGTGCAGTTCAAATCCACCAGATGCTCTGCTGGAGAAAGGAGGAAGAATCTCCTCCTGTACCAGTCAGATCTGGTTTGACAGTACACACACACAAATAATAAAAAATTAAATTTTTTTTTTTAAAAAAAGGAAAGTAGACTGAATTAGGTAAATTAATATTTGGGAAAAATTGGAGAGGGAAGTGTTAAAATTATTGAGAATATTTTGTACTTGTATGTTTAAGAATGTTGTACCATTAACAGAGAATTGGAACATGAACTTTTATTTGAGAAGACTAGTAATTTTTTTATGAAATATATCTCATGAAATAAAGGAGTGGAGCTTGAGGATTCATTTTCCTAGAAGCTGTCATTAAATCCTGGGTGTGTAATTTCAGAGGAAGTATAGAGAAAGAATAGAGAAGCATGCTTTGGCAAAATCCTAACGAATGTGCAGGTTTGAATGGTGGGATAGAATTATGAGTTAATGAGAGAGTAGTCCCACAGGACTGCAGTTTATTGAAATTTATGGAGAAATTTTAAGGACAAAGTCAGTAATATTGCTGTGAGATTTAAGAAAAAGGGCTTAAAAACCACCCACCACCCTGTGAAATCTGGCAGTTTTGGGTAGCAGTGTTAGGAAGCTAAATTTCTCCTTTCTCCCTTCAGTCTTATCTTTGGACTGTATTCTTAATATTTTCTATTTATGTTCTTACCATCTCTGTAACTCTCCTTTCTGCTTTCCCACTTAAATAATTGTACCATTTTTTGAATGTTCTTCTGCTTCCTGCCTCTTCTGTGATCTATTTCCAGCTGTACTTATTCCTGGTTTGGCAGACCAGCTGATATCATGGACTGCATTTTTACACTGAATTATGACACATCCAGGACAGGCAAAAGTTGTGATAGTGTTGAAACTATTTAAGGTTTGTGCTGCAAGAATGTACTGTGGTTGAAAGTTTTGACATAAAATAACCTCCATTGCAGACTTTTATGATACTTACATTCATAAAAATAATAAAAAGTATCTTTATATGAAAATTTTGGTTCACTGACTCAAAGTATGGTGTAGACTTTTTTTAAAAAAAACTGTTCATTCTTAAATACATATAAGTATTCAAATAAATACTTCTTTTTCTACTTTACTGTTTCATTTTTTTTAATCAATTGTAGCATAACCTTGATATAGTGTATATAGGTGAGGAATAACAGCAATTGAACAATTTTAGTGACTCAATATCTTTAGAAAAATAAGATTTTTAAAAATGTGTGTGTTGTTAATATTTTCACTATTTTTATCTTGAAGTACTTTCACACTCCATCATGAAACTTTCATTCTGGATAGTCATCATGACAATACCTAATCCTAAACAGTTCTCTCTCTCATCTGTTTCAATGCAGTATACATTATGTATCCCCTCTTAGTTTCCTCCCAACTCCGATGTCAGTCCCGCTTTACAACAGTGGCACTATGCATGCAGTATTTGTCCTTTTGTGATTGAGATATTTCACTCAGTATAATGTCCTCCTGGGTCACCCATTTTGTATAATATTGCATGAGTTCCTTGTTTTTAAATGCAGCTTAGTATTCCATTGTGTGAGTATACCACAGCTTCTCTATCCATTCGTTTGTTGATGGACACTTTGGTTGTTTCCAGCTCTTTGCTCTTGCAAACAAAGCCGCAATAAACATTGGAGTGCCCATGTAGATAATTCATAAAAGAGCATTATGCTCATGGCAGACTATTTTTACTGGTAAAGATAAACTTGTTGACTTTAAGATGACTTCAGGGGATATTTTTGGTTTTGAATATGAAGATTTTAGATGAGTAGTTTTTGGGAACTTATTCACACTCTGACTTCAGAAAGTTTAAAGTCCACTATTGAGAGACCCTTAGAATCCATTTTGGAGGTGAGAAGGGAGGGGGGAGAGGGAAGTAAAAATGAATAGATAATTTGTTAGCTCTGGTGGAGCAGTCTGTAGGAAATTGCATCACTGACTTAAAGGCAGCACCTATCTCTCAGTTTGAGTCCACTGCAGCACTGAGGGAAAAACATGGACAATCTCTTCTCACTTTACAGCCTTAGAAAATCCTCTGGAGAATCAGCTCTGAGTTGGCTCCTCCTCAGCAACCATTAGTTTGATGGCAGTGAATTGTTACAGTTTTGTTTCTCCATCAGAATATGGAAATTCCCGAATACCATTAATGTCACATGCAAGCAAAATATTGCAGGACAGAGAACTGCCAGAAGTTTAAGCTCGTTTTAGAAGAGGCCATGGTACCAGCAATATCATTGCTGATGGATCCTGGCTGAAAGAAGAGAATACCAGAAGAATGTCTATTTGTGTTTTGTTGATTGTGCACAGACATTTGATTGTGTGGGTTATAACAAATTATGGTTCACATTGAGAAGAATGAGAATTCTAGAACACTTAATTGTGCTCATGCAAAACCTATACTTAGGTCATGAAACTGTTGTCCAAACAGAGCAAGGGAACACATTATGGTTTAAAATTATGAAAGGTATATACCAGGTTGATATCCTTTCTCTATACCTATTAACTCTGTATGCTGAAATAGCACTCAAGAAGCTGGACATTATGAAGAAGAATCATCAATAAACTGTGTTGTGCAGATTATACAACTTTGTTTGCTAAAAGTGAGGAGGGCTTGAAGCACATGCTGCAGAAGATCAAAGACTGCAGCCTCTAAAATATGGATAACATTTCAACATCAAGAAAACAAAAATTCATACACTGGAAGGATAGGCAATATCATCATAGATGGAACAAAGATTAAAACTGTCAGTGAATTTATCTTACTTGGTTCTACAGACAACAATACCCATGGAACCCACAGTAGAAGATGTATTGCATTATTACATTGGGGAAGTCTGCAGTCAGAGACCTCACAAATTACTGAGGAGCAGAGATGTCATTTTAAAGACTAAGATGCACCTGACTCAGGCCATTTATTTTCAGTCACTGAGTAAGAATGACTGAAGAATTGATGTCTCTGAGCTATGATGTTGGAGAACAGTGCTGAATTTCCCATAGACTGCCAAAACAGGTATGTTTTGAAGAAAGTACAACCAGAGTGTTCTTTGGAGGCGGTAAAACTTTTTCCCCTTACATAGTCTGGGTATGCTGTTCAGGGAGGGAAAGGGTTAGCTAAAAAAAGAGAAAGAACCTCAACCATCCTAACTCTTTGAGATAGGAAACTCCCATCTCTTTCCTGTGGAGCAGCTATTGGAATCAAACTGCCAACCTATTGGTTAGCAGCTCAGTTAAGGGGAAAAAAACCTGCCAAAACCCTTCTGTCCAGTGGCTCTTGGTCCATGCCCCGAGGTGAGAGTGGAAGGTCCAGGCCTCTTCTTTTGTGATTTGAGTGTGTAGAGGGCAGCAATATTTGGAGGAATACGTTTGAATAGCTTTAGGAATGCAAACAGGTGCACTTGACCTGGCAAGCCAGAGGACCCTGGCAGGATGTGCAGAGGAGCATAGCAGCTCAACCATGTGTTACTGCATTAGCAGCCAAAGTAGGTTTGGGTTCTCTGTTGGGGCCCTCAGTAAATTCATGGGCTGAGGTTAGGAGTGCAATGATCAGGGCAGTCAGTGAGTCAGTGCAGGGTTGATGTGAGGTTGATAGATGGAATGGACTGGAGGTGACTGCCATTGTTGACAGGCTGTGTCGCCCAGCCTGTGGTATAGGGGTGGGTTGGAGTCCAGGAGGCAGCACCAGGAGAAGAAGAAGACAGTCCTGCTGGGAGGAACTCAAGAGAGATGCAAAGCAAAACAACTATGAGATATCATCTCACCCCTGTAAGAATAGCAAAATTCAACAGCGCAGCAGGCAACAAATGTTGGCGAGGTTGTGGAGAAACTGGAACCCTTACTCACTGTTGGTGGGAGTGTAAAATGGTGCAGCCACTATGGAAGGCAGTATGGCATTTTCTCCGAAACTTGGAAATAGAAATATCATTTGACCCAGCAGTTAACACTGCTGGGAATATGCCCTAAAGAAACCATAACTGCCACCCAAGCAGATAACATGCACACCCACGTTTATTGCTGCTTTGTTCACAGTAGAAAAGAGTTGGAAACAACCTAAGTACCCATCAGCAAACAAATGGACAGAGAAGCTGTGGTATATTCACACAATGGAATACTATGCAGCACTGAAAAACAACTAATAAAATATACAAAATGGGTGACCATGGAAGACGTTATGCTGAGTGATATATCTCCATCACAAAAAGACAAATACTGCATAATGCCACTGTTAAAAACAGGGCTGAAATGGGGGTTGGGGAGAAACTAAGAAAAATGGGGGATAAATAATGTATACAGCATTGATACAGACGAGGGCAAGAACTATATAAAAGAAATATATGATTAGGTATTACTGTCATGACAAGAGTTCAGAGTAAGGGATGCAGAGTAACGTGGACTGAGGAGGAGGTATCTGTATAACAAAGAATTTTTTTTCCAAAGAAAAAAGCGAACTTGGGGGAAGGGGTCAAGGAGGAAAACGTGCAAAAATGAATGAATGGAAATCCAAGTTCTAGAAATTTTCATTAAAATCTCAATTAAAAAACATACATCAGGGTACAGGAAAGAGGAAAGGTAAGTGAGCTCAGGCAAGCTGCTGCAGCAGCTGGCACAGCTGCCAGAGTTCAGGGATGGCTTCTGGGAGTGTGGGGAGGATCTCACAAATGCTGGAGAACAGAGGGAGCAGTATTGGGAAAGCAGTAGGCCCTCAGCTGGAAGGCTGAGCTGGAAGCAGTCCTGACACTCTTGATTTGGGGCCTCAGAAGTGTGAGGAAGTGGACTGTCTAGGCATATGGAAAGCTATAGTTAGCTGCCTGGGTTTCAGGAGGGACAGGTGATTCAAGCCCTGTGGGACACATACCAGGAAAGGAAAGGTGCCTCCAAAAGGAAAAGGGACCCAAAGGGCACAAGACCAGAGGTATAGGTGGAGTAGAGATGATATGTCTGCAGGGAAGCTCCAGAATGCAGTAGGTAAAGAAGTTAAGTAATGCTCTTAAGATACTAATTTTCAGGGAACAACCTCGTGTTTGGAATTTAACCCTGACAGTAAATGAGGAGCGAGTGTAGTGGTTTTTTTTTTTTGTTTTTTTTTTTTTTTAAATTTAGGTTGTTTATTTTTCATTTCAATGAACATCTACAGAGATTTTGGGATTCCATTCATTCATTGTTGCACCCTTCTCCCCGCACAAACCCCCCCCCCCCCATTTGCTCCTCTCCTTGAAAGGCAAAAGAAAAACTCCCTCATTGGTACACAATCCCCCCCCGCACCTCCCCAAACCCCACCCCCTAGCCCCAAATATAATCCACTCTACAACCCTCATTGCATACTCCTACGATAAAAATAATGCCCTAAAATATAATACTTTTAGACTATTCTCTCCCCCATAGACTTCAATGCCGTAAACGTATTTCATCCAGTTGTAGAATGAGGCTGGCATTGGGGTGGGGGTAAGACTGAGAAAAACTGAGTGTAGTGTTTTATAGATTATCTCTCAGTAGGGATTTGTCTGATTTTTTTAATTTGAGGATTATCCTAGGATTATAGATTTGAGGAAGAAAACTATGCTTTTATAAATTTAAAAATAAAGTTTAATTTTTAAAAAAAATCAACTCTGAAAAATTTGTAATGAGAAATGAGCCTATCTATATACCCTTTCCCAAGTATAACTTTTGTCTTACTTGGTTTTGCTCAATATTTTGAATATATATATATGTATATATATATGTATATACATACATACTATCTCTTTTTTTTTTTTTACGGACTTGTTTTAGATTTGCAGTGAGGTCTTTTTAAGTAGATGCCTATTAGCCTAACCCTACTTTTCCTTTTAACCATTCTGTAACTTCATGCATCTTAGTTTAAGCATAAGAATTGGACCTCATTATGACTTTGTGAATACTGTTCAGTGACAATTTAGAAATTCTTCTCTGTATCGACTTAATACTTTTTGTATAGTTTAAAATGGTTTGTCTTGTTCTGTTCTATATTCTTTTTCTCACCACTGCTCAGTGTTTTGAGATAAGCGATAACCTATCCCCTTGCTTTTTGTTTGTTTGTTTCCCAGGAGACCTCATTTTTGTATCAGTCCATTCTTTCTTTTCAACCTGAAATGGTTACCTGCTATACCAGCTGCATAGTTTTA